GTAAAGCACGAAGGGTGATGCCGTCCATGCATTATTTATATTGTGAGGAAGAGTGTAAAGCACGAAGGGTGATGCCGTGCATGCATTGTTTATATTGTGAGGAAGAGTGTAAAGCACAAAGGGTGATGCCGTGTATATTATGAGAGGTTTAATGCACGAAGGGTGATGTCGTGCCGTTCTATTTATTTATTTGGTGAGGTTGAGAGTAAAAGCACGAATGGTGATGCCGTGCAGTTTTCCTTGATGTTTTAATTGCTCAATTTGTTTAAGGATTTTCGGTTTAATTCTGTCTTTTCATTATTCTCACTCTTTATATTGTATTTCTCCATTGTATGTTCCCTTTCCATTATTTTTATGTTATTTCTTTATTTACTGTTGTTGCCAGTAGTATGATTATATTGTTCAGGTTATATGTGGGTGTCTTGTCCTAGCCTTGTCACTACTTCGCCGAGGTTAGGCTCGCCACTTACCAGTACATGGGGTCGGTTGTATTGATGCTGCACTCTGCACTTTCTGTGCAGATTTTGATACCGGCTCAGGTTGATCGAGATTTGCTATTGGTCCGATGTCCGGAGACTCAAGGTAGATCTGTCGGCATTCATAGACCTTGAAGTCCTCGTCTATCTTTTATGTCCTACTGTTTTTCTTTCATTCAGACAGTTGTATTTCTTTCAGGCTATTACTTGTAGTAAATTCTAGAATGCTCGTGAATTATGACTCCAGATCCGGGTGGTAGCAATTAATACAATTTTATAATATTCTGTACTTATTATATTTCATCTTAGTTAATTATTATTATTTACTGAATGGAAATAAGGAATTGGTTTAACGATTTTCTAACGTTGGCTTGCCTAGCAAGTGAAATGTTAGGCGCCATCACGGTTCCGTCGGTAAGAAATTTCGGGTCGTGACAGCCACCGAGAAATTTGAGAAGTGGAGTGAACTGGGAAAGAAGACCCGAGCATCGGAGAAGGGTGGCTCCTTGCACTGTCTAGGTTCAAGAAGCATGGGTGATACGAGGAGACAACTGGTAATTCCTTAAAATATTTCGGTCTATTTTTATCGAACTATATTTATATATGATAATTTCGTTAACACGTTTTATTATATTTGTAGAAAAAAAATATGGGAGGAAGATGAGTCGTGATGAGTTCTTCATGGAGACTCATATCCGGAAGAAGAAGGCACCGACAGATCCAACTAGATGGGTCGAGGACCGGGCGGAGACTACACATGTAAGTTTCATAACTACTATAAATATTTATAATATTATATAGTTAGTAATTTTCTATCTTCTAAATAAAGGGTCGCTACAAGATTAATTTGGAGGAGTACACTCAGAGCTTGCCACCGAATGAGCAAGGCGAGCGACCGCCCATTTCAGACGAAGAAGCGCAGAGGATATGGTTGGATGTTGTCGGTGGTCCTAAAAAGGGGATAGCATACAGCCTTCCAGATAAATCATTTCGGCGCTACAGGGTTGGATTGCAAGGTATAGGGACTTCCGCCCAAGGCGAGGCGATTGATAGGTCGACTATATCGTCTATGGAATAGAAGATCGCAAAGCTGACATCAGAGCTTGAAGAGACAAAGGCTAGAGAAAAAAAGAGAGATGAACAATTTGGTACCCTTCAAGTTCAGCTAGAAAGGAGGGACGAACAATTTAATCTCCTTCAAGGTCAGCTGGCCAATCTTCTTGCTACTGATGCTTTCCCCATTCTCCGGTCTCGTGAGCCTTCCCCATGTGCCAACGATGAAGGTTCTAGGAGTGAAGATGGAGATGATGCTAGATAAAAAAACTCATTGAATGGTGTGTATTTCTAAACAAAGTATTGAACTTGTCAATATTTAGTTGAGACTAGTTTTGAATGATGATTATATTATTATTGAATATTTTAGTAGTTGTTGTGGTTGTTATTAGTTGTTGTGGTTGTTATTAGTTGTTGTTGTTAGATAATGGTTGTTGGTGTTAGTTAATAGTTTTTGTTAGTTAGTTGTTGTTGTTGTTGTTAGTATATTCATTGTTGTTGGTTAATTATGGTTGAATGGCAGCAATGTAATGCTGCCATTATAGGATGGATATTGGTTGTAATTGATAGGTGGTGTAGCTCAAAAATAGACATTTTCTGCCCAGTTTTTACCCAGATTTCCGACCGAATTCAGTCGAAAATTAATTTATTTTTGCCCAGAAATTCATAATTTTCGACCGAATTTGGTCAAAATTTTCAAATAAATTCTCCAGTTTATTAAAATTTCCGACCGAATTCGATCGGAAATTATGAATTTATTTTTATTTTTTAAAATAAATTAACAATTTATTACAATTTACAACTAATTATTTAATTAAAAAAAATTAATAGTTTCCGACCGATTTAGGTCGAAAATTTGAAAATTAAAAAAAATATATTTAATAGTTTCCGACCGAATTCGGTCGAAAATTTCCGACCGATTTCGATCGGTACATGTTTGCGACCATCATTTTCCCGACCAATTAAAATCAGTCGAAATTCGATCGGAAATAACGGACGGAATTACACTATTTTTTAGTAGTGAATATCTTTTATGTGTCAACTTTCTCTAGATCGAACACTACATATCATTTGGCAATTCAATAAATTTAGCTAAATTTTTAGATAGAGTTATTATATCTAAATTTCGAGTATGATATTAAAGATATTTATAAATAATAAGTGAGTGTAAGATATATTTCGAGGAGATATTTTATTTTTATATTAAAATTAATAACTTACATTAAGTAATTTATCAAATATTTTGAGTACGTTCAAAGTTGAAAGAAATCAATAATGACCCAATTCATCATTTTATTGCTAGGTAGTGAAACCATTTGGACATGATCATTGTAAAAAATCATTTGTGTAGCTCAGTTGCTTTAGTATCACAACTCTATCAAAAGCTTTGACAAATAACACTAATTAGGAACTAATAGATGACTATATTTTTAAGTTTAGTAGTAAACATGTTGAATAAATAATTAAGCTTGCATATATAAAAGTTGATACGATAAAGTATAGAAGCATACTGAATTAAGAATGAATCATCTTTTTCCCTTTTTATTAATTTTGCTTGATGTTATAATTAAGAACTAATGAGTGAAGAGTAAAAACAATGGTAAAGTATTAATAAATCTTTCAAAGGTTACCACCAGGTTCTCGGCATTGTGTTTTCACTTCAAACAAAGTTTAAGAAAGGATCTTTCTATTCTTGTTTTTGTTTAAGCTTTAGCTTCAAAAATACGGAGCAAATGTTTGGTTGGTTTCACGTGGAGTAAAATCTCTACATACAACACAACTGGGGCTGACAATTTGCGCCTTAAAAATGCCTCAAATATTTTCTTTATTTACTAAAATGTACGATAGCAATTGAAGTAATAATATACAAAAGCATGCAAAGATATTTTCTATAAAGCAAACATATCAGAGAAATATAGCACAGATGGGGCTGACAATATGGGCCCTGAGAATGCCTAAGAAGTTTCAAATATTTATAAAACATTGTGATGGCAAGTGAGGTAATAATATACAAAAGGAGTGTCAAATATATTCTAGGTAAAGCAGGCATGTCGACGAAGACCACCCTGCTTCACCTAGTGCACTCCCACTTCTAATATAGTAGAAATTCAGAAAAAGCAACCACGGTTGGAGAATGAAGCAGCGCTGGGTGTTTAGAAAATGGAAAAGATGAAGATTTTATTAGTAGAAAAATAATGATTGGAAAAGAAGCACAGTAGGAAAAAGATTAGTTAAATTTCAGGCTTAGCAATGGGAAAAAGTCAAAGAAATTAGATTTAAACTCCAATTTAACAGCTCAAAATTAGGTAAAACATATAGATTTGCCAAGTAAAAATATTAGGTAAAGCATATAAAAAAAAGAATACAGAGCAACACCCATAAATCGCATCAATTTTAAACCTTTTTTCGAATAAATAACCGGTACAATAAAATATAAAACAAAGGCAAAGAATAACAAACTAACCAACTCAGCTGTGGAAACAAAGAGGATGTACACAGGGAGAGCAGAGCAGATTAATCACTTTAAGATACAAAGAAATCTGATAAAAGCAGAGAAAGAAGAAACCCCAATATTAAGCGGTGGCCATAGAGGTAAATGTCCAGGTGTAATGCTGTTAATATCAACGGAAGATCTAAAACATGCTTTGAAAATGCCCCAGTAATTTCCATTATTTACAAATTTCTCTGATGGCAATGAACGTAAAATTATTAAAAAATATGGGCAAAAATATAAAAGCTTAAGCTGGCATGTCGACGAAGACGTGTCTGTATCAGTTGATACACTCGCACTTCTAATATAGTAGATAGAATAATAAGTCGTCAGCAAAACTCAAGTGAATGATGCCCAGTTTTGCACATCTAGGATGATACTTGAATGTAGTAGCCTCTTTTAGACCAGCCCATATCCATCTCAAGTACTCCATTGAGATAGCAAAGTCTTAATCCTATTGCAGCATCAAAGGGTTCAGATGGTTCCCCATTAATCAGGACGGTGTAGTTTACAATTCTTATACACTCCATAATCCACTCCATATATCTTCCAGGGATGACAAGCTCAACCATAACTTGTTCTAAGTAGATCCATTCCACAGAGTCATATACTTTTTGCAGGACAAATTTAATCACACATCTAGAGGAGATATGTTTCCTGGTATAAGCTTTAACTAATTCATGAGCAAGGATTATATTGTCTGCAATTTTTCTCCCAGGGATGAATCCAGCTTGTGCTTCACTAATTATACAAGGAATAAGTTGTTGCGGTCTAGAAGCAGTATCTTAGATATCAATTTGTACAGAACTGTATAACAAGCAATTGGTCTGAATTCTTTAACTGTTTTGGGGTTGTCGTTCTTAGGAATCAGAGTAATAGCAGTGCAATTTATAGCTTTATACAGTTTTCATGTTGAAAAGAATTCCTTTACTGCTTCTATAACTTCCTCTTTGATAATATGCCAGGCTCTTTTAAAGAAAAAGGTATTATAACCATCAACTCCAGGGGATTTATCAGTAACTTTAGCACATAAATCTTTTTTCTGTTGTTGAGAAAGGACATGCCCATTTTCATGATTGATCTGTTCACAACAGGTAACTCCACAGCAGCAGCACCCAATAATCCCTTATAGAATTGCATAATCTCTTCCTTGATATCTTTAGGATCAGTGAGTTTGTCACCCCCAAGAGATGTGATCTCTGAAGTCTATTTTTGTGTCTTCTCTCCTTTACTTTAGCTGAAAAATACTTTGTATTTGAATCCCCAAGTTGAATCCATTTTACTCTTGACTTCTGCTTCATAACTTTCTCCTCATTCAGGTTCCATTTTTCTAAGTTTTGCAGGCCAATGTGTCTTTCTCCAATCCAATCAACTCATCAGAACAATTCATAACCATTTCCTGTTGAATTAAAATTAGATCACCTCGGGCTTTGTTTATCTTTTGTGCGATACCTTTGAAATGTTTACTATTCAATTGCTTAAGCAGAGGTCTCAGGGCCTTCAACTTTAGCCAGACATTCTTCATCCTATTATTTGTTTGTCTTTGCAGCCAAACTCCTTTTACCATGTCCAAAAAGCTAGTATGTTCATCCCAAATATTAAAAAGCCTAAATAGGGCTTTGATGTTGTTGTGAGTTGTATTTAAATATAATAACATACGTGAATGATCAGAGAAGTTGTGCAAGTCCTACTCTGTGACCACATGTCCCCATTTCATCATCCATTCATGATTACAAAAAATTCTATCTAATCTGCTATAAACTCTATCACTCTCATGTTGTTTATTGTTCCATGTATAATAATCCCATTTCCAGGACAATTCATTTAATATCAAGTCATGGATACAATCAGGGAAATCTTTAATCTCAGCATATTGAACAGGATTCCTTAGTAGTCAATCATTGGGATACTGTTAGTTTACATCATGTATATAGTATAGTATTGTCCTACATTGGTAGAGCAGTAGTATGTCCTTGTATAGTATACCTATAAATAAGGACCTCTTGTATTATATTATTCATCCAATATCAATAACATATTTTCTCTCGTGCCTTCTCACATGGTATCAGAGCAATTGTGAGAGACTTATCGCTGTGCATAAATTCCAGAGATTCCGGAAAAGAGAAATCAGTACTTTTTTAAGGTTGTTTTCTATCTGCTTCATTTCTGTTAGTGTTGTATAAAATCCAACACTACCATAAGAGTCGTCACTGTGTGGCAACCAAACCCCAGTAAAAAGCTCCGGCAGCAGAAGCTCACACGCGTGAGCTCACCCACCGGCGCATACGACCATTTTCGGCCATTTTTTGAAAATTTTCCTTCAGAATAGTTGGGTCGCCTGGTAATTCCGATCCTACCCCTACTGTTTTCATTTCATTCCGATAACTTTGAGTTTTTTCCGGCAGCTACAGTACTATTCTGGCAGCTACAGTAGATTCCGGCAGCTACAGTATTTCAGTATTCTATTTCTGTGTTTCCGTACTCTATTCCAGTGGATTACATTTGATTCTTTCTCTTATTTGGTAATAATTTGCAACAATGTCTTTGGGATTTGATGCTTTTGGGTCTAGAAACATGAGTTCTGGAAGCTCTAGTGCTATTATTACCTCGGAACCTTTAATGGAAAGTTCAAACTACTTAGCTTGGGCTTCATCTGTCGAGTTGTGATGTAGAGGTCAAGGTGTTCAAGATCATCTAATCAAACAGTCTAGCGATGGAGATGAAATGGCAATAACACTTTGGGCAAAAACTCGATGCTCAGTTATGTGGCATCTTGTGGCGATCTATTGATTCCAAGTTGATGCCCTTGTTTCGTCCATTCCAGACATGTTATTTGGTTTGGGTAAAGGCACACACCTTATACACTAATAACATATCTCGCTTCTATGATGTGATATCGCGGATGACAAACTTAAAGAAGCAAGAATTGGATATGTCTACTTATTTGGGTCAAGTACAAGCAGTCATTGAGGAATTTGAGAAGTTGATGTCAGTTTCTGCTAGTGTGGAAAAACAACAAGAGCAGCGACAGAAGATGTTTCTTATTCTTACCCTCGCTGGACTTCCTAATAATCTTGATTCAGTACGCGACCAGATTTTGGCCAGTCCGACTGTCCCGACAGTTGATGAATTATTCTCTCGATTACTCTGCCTTGCTACAGCACCAAGTCCACCAGTGATCTCATCACAGATACTTGATTCCTCTGTTCTTGCATCCTAGACAATGGATGTTCGGGCATCTCAAACTATAGAGCATAGACGGGGAGGTCGTTTTGGAAGATCTAGACCCAAGTATTCTTATTGTCACAAACTTGGACACACTCATGAAATGTGCTATTCCTTACATGGTCATCCACCCAAAAATGCTTACATTGCTCAGACCGAGACACCAAGTAACAAAGGATTTTCTTTATCTAAAGAAGAATATAATGAGCTCCTTCAGTATCGAGCAAGTAAGCAGGCATCTCCACAAGTAGCCTCAGTTGCCCAGACTGATATTTCTGTTACTGGTAAATCTTTTGCTTGTGTTTCCCAGTCTAGCACTCTTGGCCCATGGGTCATGGACTCAGGCACTTCTGATCACATCTATGGTAATATATCACTTTTGTCAAATATTGTATATTCACAGTGTCACGACCCGAAATTTTTCACCGACAAGACCGTGATGGCGCCTAACATTTCACTTGTCAGGCAAGCCAACGTTAGAGAATCATTAACCAATTCCTTATTTCCATTCAGAAAATAACAATAATTAACTAAAATAAAATATAATAAGTGCGGAATATCACAAAACTGTATTAATTACTACTACCCGGATCTGGAGTCACAATTCACAAGCATTCTAGAATTTACTACAAGTAATAGTCTGAAAGAAATACAAATGTCTGAATGAAAGAAACAGTAGAACAGAAAAGATAGACGGGGACTTCAAGGTCTGTGAACGCCGACAGATCTACCTTGAGTCTCCGGACAGCAGGACCAATAGCAAAATCTCGATCAACCTGAGTCGGTATCAAAATCTGCACAGAAAGTGCAGAGTGCAGCATCAGTACAACCGATCCCATGTACGGGTAAGTGTCGAGCCTAACCTCGACGAAGTAGTGACGAGGCTAAGGCAAGACACCTATAATTAAACCTGTACAAGTTAACCGTGTATATGCAAATAACAGAAATGAAGAACTAAACAGGAAATGTCGGGAGGGGAACATACTGAGGGGAATACAAGATAAAGAACTACAACAGAATGATCACCGGAGTAGTCAATATACCATGAATCAACCAGAATAGTGAATACAGTAAGGAAAAATGCACGGCATCACCCTTTGTGCTTTTACTCTTTATCTCACCATAATATTAATAGAAGCGGCACGGCATTACCCTTCATGCTTTTACTCTCTTATCATGGCACGGCATCACCCTTTGTGCATTAACACTCACAATATGGCACGGCATCACCCTTCGTGCATTAACACTCACAATATGGCGCGGCATCACTCTTCATGCATTAACACTCATAATATGGCACGGCATCACCCTTCTTGCATTAACACTCACAATATGGTACGGCATCACCCTTCGTGCATTAACATTCTCCCTTACCATAATGCAATGCAATGCATAAATAACAACAGGGAGATAGAATAACAAGTACAAACCTTACTTCAATATTTGGTTCTATAATATCAATCTCAACTTTGAAATAAAAACTCAATTATCACTAGAAAATCCGTAAACATGATAAGAACGATAAATTGAACAACACTAGCATAACACGTAGCAATTTGACATAGGAAAAGACAATATAAGAAAGACAGAGAAACATGGAAAACAGGTACATTGGTGGTGCATAAGTACTCGTCACCTCACATATATGCCGCTCACATGGATTTCACTTAGCAAGTAATATAAGGTTCCTAATTCCATCGAGTCAGGGTTAGACACAACACTTACCTCGCTCTGAAGGCTACTTAATTCTCAATCACAGCTTTTCCTTTGGAATTCACCTCCAAACTACTCGTATCTATTCAAAATTGACTAAATAATATCAAATATTGCTAAAGAAATCAATTATATTGCATAAATTAAATTTTCTAATTTTTTCTCCAAAAAGTCAAAAAATCAACCTCGGGCCCGCTTGGTCAAAACCCGAGGTTCGGACCAAAATCCTTTTACCCATTCACCCCCGAGACCGAATAGGTAATTAGTTTTGGAATCCGACCTCAAATTGAGGTCTAAATCCCCAAATTCCCGAAATCCCTAGTTTCTACCCTAACTCCTAATTCTACCATGAAAACTCTAGATTTTAGGTTGAAAATTCAAGAAATGTAATGGGTAATTGAAAGAAAATGGTTTAGAATCACTTACCAATAATTTGGGTAAGAAATGACTCTTGAAATATCGCCTCTCACCATTTGGTTTTTGAGAAAAAAAATGAGTTTTTGGCTAAAACCCCTTTTTGGATTCTGTTAAGTGCTGGGCGATAGTGTTCATCGCGTTCGCGAGAGCACTATCGCGTTCGCGAAGAGTATAGGCTGCCAAGCCTTCGCGTTCGCGAGACAATGCTCGCGTTTGTGATGAACACTCCCCCTGGCCTTCGCGTTCACGAGACAATGCTCGCGTTCGCGATGAAGAAAAGGCGGACTCCCTCTCCGCAGTGCCTAACACTACGCGTTCGTGATGGGCTTGTCGCGTTCGCGAAGGGTAACGCCCCCATTGCTTCGCGTTCGCGACCAAGCCTTCGCGTTCGCGAAGAAGAAAACTCCAGCTGCCCAGTTTACTCTTCGCGTTCGCGAGAGTACCGTCGCGAACACGAAGAAGGACATGCCAGAACACAGACTCTGCAGAAAAACCAGATTTCCAAAGTCCAAAACATCCCGTGCCCTGTCCGAAACTCACCCGACCCCTCGGGGCTCCAAACCAAACATGCACATAAGTCTAAAAACATCATACAAACTTGCTTGCGCGATCAAATCACCAAAATAACACCTAGAACTATAAATTTAGCACCAAATCAAATGAGACTCTCAAGAACACTTTAAAATTACTATTTTCTCAATTGGACGTCCGAATCACGTCAAATCAACTCCGTTTCTCACCAAATTTCACAGACACGTCTTAAATATCATAATAAACCTGTACCGAGCTCCGGAATTAAAATACAAATCCGGTACTAACAATGCCAAAAATCAATCGATTCTTAAAAATAATTAATTTTCAGATTTTTAATTTTCATCAAAAATTCATAACTTGAGCTGGGGACCTCCGAATTTGATTCCAGGCATACGCCCAGGTCTCATAATTTGATACGGATCCACCGGGACCGTCAAAACATGAATCCGGGCCCGTTTACAATAAATGTTGACCGAAGTCAACTAAAATTAACTTTTAAGGCAAAAATTCTTATTTTCATTAGTTTTCAACATATAAGCTTTCCGAAAACCTGCCCAGACTGCGTACGTAAATCGAGGAGAGTAAAAATGAGATTTTTAAGGCTTAGGAGCGCAGATGCGAGTTCTAAATCATAAGATGACCCTTTTGGGTCATCACACACAGTCTCTTCCCACTGTT